AAAATAAAAAATAAAAAAAAATAAAAAGAGTAGTAATTGAGAAACAAACAAAAAATATAACAGTAGCATCATATCAGTATCATGAACATAAGCAAATCAAAGCAAGAACATTCAAAGTGATACAGGGTCTCAAAACAAAATAATACAAATCAACAGTGGTTGTTACATAACATATCACTATCCTCAACTACATTGCTCAGATTACCAGATGTAAGAATGAAAGATTGGTCAAACCATTAAAGAGAATAAGAAAATAATTTGTTGACAAAATATTAGCATACATTTAATAGAAATTTTTATATCCAGGATTTCTGTTTGGCACCTTTCCATGAACTCTAATTCTTCAATAAATTTGAAACTCAAGTATTAAATAGTTTTTGTTAGCTCTTCTAATTTTTTGTTTAATTATTCTTTAATCTAATTGAACAGATTTTTTATTGATTCCAAGATACTTTGTCTTTGAGCTCACTGATAGCTTTTTTTCCTGTTTGATTTTCTAGTACATTTCAGCCATTTCGTGTTTGATTTTCTCTCCATTGATATCTATGGGTATACAGTGAGGAGTTGTGTTTCAGGCATATTGTTGCCTTGCTTTGTCATATTTGTTTGTTTTTTTATCTGTGCTAGGGTTGTGGTCTACTAGAATGAAAAGATCATTTTATGGGGATCTCTTTAGTATGATTCTTCTTTCGAGTAGTATGATCTTGTTTGTAATTGGCAAGAAGTATTTTCTATCACTCTGACCTGTGCAATTCAATGGGGTTAGACCTGGTCACTGTTATGAAGAGAGAATTCCTACTGGTTATAATCGTATCAATACATCCAATCATGCATTATTTATAAACATTGAATGTTTTTGTCAATTTCACATTTTTAACTTTGTTTCTTACAGACTCTATTACACTGCTACTTATAGTTTGCCTTGCATTTGGAGTGATAGGGGAATGAAAAAAGAAAGGGAAACAGAACACAGTAAGTCAGTAGTAAGACCAGGAGAGAACAAACATATCAATAGAAAAAATATGCAGTAAGTCAGACTCTGCTGGAATTATTTTTATAGCTTGAGTCAAGGGGAGCATGAAACAGGTTTCAAAGAATATCTGTGGAGGTTTGAGAAAGTATGATGCAGGAAGGAAGTGTAATTGGAGACTGAGAGAATCCATGGGATTGTTGGAATCTCTAATAGATTGTCCTTAGCTTTGTTTGGATCTTCAATGCACAATTTTGGTGAGGGTTAACCTAGCATGCCCAAGAAAGACACTTTAAGTCAAAGCACTGGTTAATTTCTAGTCCTTTTTGTATGTACACAAGCACTTCCTACTATATGCCACATGACTGGTGGAATGAAGAGAGGGAAAATAGAGATAAAAAGTAGAGAAAGGAAAAAGTAAAATAAGAGAAGTAAAATAAAAATTTGGGTTGCAAGCATAATTCATTCTGGAAACATGCTTGTAATCTAAAGCACTTGTATATCACAGCAAATTTCCCCATAGGCAGTAATAGAAACTCAGATGATTCATTCCACAATGCAAATATATTCATATTAAAATTAGTATAGTAATGTAACATAATAAAGGTAATAAATAAAATACAAAATATAGTGCAAAATAAACAAATGGACATGCACTTAACTTTGAAAACCTTCGTGGCTGGTGTGAGGGAACCTAGAGTGAGGAGGGTTATTATGTGGAATGACTTGCACTATCACTAAAGAATCACTGCTCTCTGTTGGCTCAATAGAATCTTTTTCTTTTCATGTCACTTTAACAGGGAACCTATGTAGTGACACTTCTTTTTGCCCCTTTTTGAGGATTTTGCAGAAATGTGAGATTATATTGTATTTCAACAAATTCATCACTGCTACAGCCTTATTCAGGTACTTCTTTTCTACAAAATTTTGCTGTTTCCCACATATTACACATCTTCCTAATCTCATTTGATATGAGGGATTTTTCCATCTTTTTCTTCTCAACCTCTGTAGATGAGATCTCCTCCATAACCTCTTACTGTTGGGAAATGGTTACCCACAATGTCAGGACAGAGAGAGACAGAGAGAGAGAGAGACAGAGAGAGAGAGAGAGAGACAGAGAGAGACAGAGAGAGACAGAGAGAGACAGAGAGAGAGAGAGAGAGAGAGAGAGAGAGAGAGAGAGAAGAGAGACAGAGAGACAGAGAAAGATAATTAGAGATACAGAGACAGAGAAACAAAGACTGAGACAAAAGGACAGAGAGACACAGACAGAGAGAGCCATTGACTCATTTGTGATCATGTGATATTCAGCATCGCATACTACTCCTATTTCAAGACATTGCTCACTTATCAAGTTACAATATATTAGAAATATTTGCTTGTGATGGGAAACACTTGCAGAATAAGTTACTTGCAATCCAAGGTTTTACTGTAGATGAAAAAGAATAAAAACTAATAACAAATGAAATAAATAAAATGAATAAAGAAAGAAAAACAATAAAACAAAAAACAAATACACAGGCAGAAAAAGAAAAAACCTCAAGCAGGAGACACAGCACAAAGTAGAAGCATTTTCTCAGTCCCTTTCATGCTGCAGTAGGAGTTTTGTTGCAGGCCTCTAAGCTAATTCTCCCTACGCTGCTGCAGCTTGCTTAAACTCCTGCCAGCTGTGGGAAGGCATACTGATGCAGATGACTCTCTGAGCACAGCTCCTGGCTGTAAGCCATACTTTGGGCATAACTAGCTGCAGGCTTCACTCTCCTTCCAGAGATCTGACCTCAGTAAATAGGGGAAGGCAAGGTTGTGGTCTACTTTGCTCAGTACTGTTTCTCTATCAGTTTCCATCAGGAACCTCCTAGTCTCTCTGCTTTCACTACAGGACAAATTCTCTGGTCATCCCTTGTTTTCCTTCCACAGACCTTTGCCTAGTGCATCACTGGAAACTCTCTGACCAAGGCCTTACAATATTCCCCTCCACTTATGGTCCTTTTTCAGTCACTGGCCCAAGAGCTTTACTCTAACTCATGAAACTTGACACAACCCAAGGGCTAGGCAGAAAGATTTTTCAACAGCACACAACTATGGGCAGTGAGGAGGGTATTACACTCAGATATCCCTGATTTTGAGGAGAACAATAAGAGTGCCTGTTGTGGTACACTCTGCTGTATCTCCCTTTCTTCCCACTGTCTCCTGAGATGTAGTTTGCAGCTCCCCACCAGTGAATTTTATGATTTTATGTTACCTATGGCTCACAGTGTTCAGCCACTCTCCAGTTAGGTGGGGGCTTCTCCTGACACTGAATGGTCTGAAGGGGACAGAATGCCACAGGAATGCATCTCTCCTCAGCGTTTGGTAGGATAATATGGGAAGGATTGTTTGTTTTAGGACTGCTGGATCTCCCTTTCTTTCCCATGTTTCAACACTTGCAATATACAGTTCCTTGAGACCAAAACTTCACTTATCTTTCATGCTGGGTTTCTCCTTCCACATGAGAGCAAGAGTATACATATCAATATGCAGAAGAAGAAAATGTTTGATTGATTCAATAAATACAGAAAAAGAATATAAAATTTGAATGCTGATTCATGACAAAAACTTCTTAGCAAATCTGGAAGAGGAGAATATCTTCAACTTGATAAACTTATTTAAAATACTTCCTGAGGACATAATATGAGAAAAAGGGATTAAAAAGATATGGATAGGAAAGGAAGAAAAGTCACTTTTTGTTCATAATGGGCATGACTGTTTATGTAAATCTTTGGAATCAATAAAAGAACAAAAGCCTAGAAGCATAGCAGTTACAGCAATGTTGTAAAGTGCACAGTGTACAAAATATATGCAGACATAAATATAAATTTAATATAACACATATATTTATGACAATTAATTGTGTATGATATGCAAAAAATATAACACATTATGAAAAAGATACATACAAATAAAATTATCAGTATATGATTAATAAGATCAAAGCAATATAAATTAATAGACACATTCTATGTTCATGGATAAAAAGACTCAATATTGACAAGCCATCAGTCCCCCTCAACTGATTTATAAATTTATCCTAATTCTAATAGACATCTCATGTTCACCCCTTGAAATATATCATCCCATCCTGAAATATTTGGGAAAAGATCTGTATCAGATTTTGGAAGTTTTAAGCTTCTAGAAAATTTACATATAAAAGATGAGATAACCTGGGGATAGTAAATGTACTGTAAACACAAAATTCATTTATTTTCTCCTCTTCTTTTGAGCCACATTCTTGCTACATACTTCAGACTGTTCTTCAACTCACTATGTGGTACAGGACAGCTTCAAACATGCAGCAATCCTCCTGGCTGAGCCTCTCAAGTGTTGGGGTTACAGACATGTACCACCACACCTGATCTTACTTTTTTATATATGTAATATGCATGGCCTGGAGGTAATTTTATACAGAAATTTTCTACCTGATGTACTATTAAACACTTAGACACTTTCAGATTTTGGAGCACTTGGGATTTTCAGACTAGAGATGCTCAATGTAGGCTGAAAAACTGATTCTATAGCTTATGTACAAAGGCAGAAGCTTGCTACAGTATGAGACTAAAGATAATCTCCAAAGTGTTTGGTCCAAGGTTGGAAAAAACAATGGGAAAGTAGAAAATGAGAAAGGGAAACAATATCGGATATCAGAGAGAATGAAAAGCTTAAAAATGAGGTTGATAAAGTTCCATGAAGCAACTGATTTAAATAGAGACTTCAAAACTGAATGAAAATAATTATACTTCATGACTTGATGAAAGAATCATAGTGAACGGACCCAATGTTTGTAGTACTGGGACCACAGGATCATCTTGAAATATCTCTTTTATGACTTCCCTCTGAAGAGTTTTCTCAGAGCTCCCATTAGGTCCTTATTCCTCAGACTGTAGATGAAGGGATTCAACATGGGTGTGACCACGCTGTACATCACTGAGGCTGTTGCAGTGGAGTGTGAGTTGTGTGTAGCAGACGAACTAAAGTACACACCTAGGCATGTACAATAAAATAAGCAGACAACAGACAAGTGAGAAGCACAGGTAGAAAATGCTTTGTACTTCCCCTGAGCTGATGAGATTGCATGTATGGAGGAAACTATCTTGGAGTAAGAGTAAATGATACCAGTGAGAGGTCCACAGAACAGCAGCGCTGCTGCAAAATACATTACCATGTCATTAGAAAAAGTGTCAGAACAGGCAAGTAGAACAACTTGATTAATTTCACAGAAAAAGTGTGGGACTTTCAGTTCTGTGCAGAAGGACAGCCGCAGCACCATTAAACTTTGTAACAAGGAGTTCAGGGCACTTGTGATCCAGGACACCAAAACTAGCAATCCACAGAGCTTGGGATTCATGATGACTGTATAATGTAGGGGGTGACATATGGCCACAAAGCGGTCATAGGCCATCACAGTTAGGAGAAAGTTGTCCATAACTCCAAAGAGTATGAAAAAGTATATCTGAATGATGCAGCCTTTATAGGTTATGACCTTGTTGTGTGTATGAATGTTCACCAGCATCTTTGGGATTGTGGTAGAGGTGAAACAAATGTCAACAAAAGATAAGTTGGAGAGGAAGAAATACATTGGTGTGTGCAGATGGGAATCTGAGATTGTGGCTAGGATGATGAGCAGGTTCCCAAACACAGTGATAAGGTACATGAACAGGAAAACTCCAAAAAGGAAGAGTTGCAAGCTGGGGGCCTCTGAAATTCCCAGAAGGAGGAATTCTGAAATTTTTGTGTCATTCTCTGGTTCCATATGACTGAAAAAAGAGAAAAATTACACAGCACCCTATGCATTACTAACCTTACAGAAATAGTATCATTTATTTCCTACGGTCAGCTTCCTCTCCTGACTTGGAACTCCTGTTCAACTCTAAGCAATTCTCCAAGAGGGATCATATTAAATAATTGCAATCTTTTCATGCAACTGAGGAATATAAATTAATGATGATCATGTTCTGGGCACTGTCTAGGCAATGACTGATCAGTATTAAAAGAAAACCAAACAATCCTAATGTTTTTAAGCTCTACTGAGGGAGATATAATACAAACAAATGAAAGTTAATAAGAGTAGGTAAAGAAATAATCACATAATCTACCAGAAAATAAATTATTGTGAATGAAGAAAGACAAAGGTGTAGGAGAAAGTGAAGATGGGGTGTTATTTTAGTGGATATTTAGGCAAGACCAGCAGGAGATGACACTTGAAAAGAGACCTTCAGGAAGGCAGGGAGAGAGCCACAAATTTTTCTGCAGAAGTGCGTGTCTCACCAGAGATGCAGCCAGTGCAAAGGCCCTGAGGGTGATGCTTTTTGCAGATGTTTGAGATAAAGAAAGGGTCAGTGTGACAGGGAAAATGAGTGAGAGGAAGAGTGATACAAGATAATGTCAGAGAATAATGAAGCGCGAAGTGCCATTGTTGTTGCTAAAGCTTCGAGGCACAGGATCTCTTTGACCAGATGTTATTCTTGCCTTTTATTAAATTGGCTGCCATGTGCTCTGTGAATTCAAATGTACTCTTGTTTATTTCCATATATTTACTTATGTTTTGGACTACGCATTATGAGTTACATTTTAAAATATACTGACCCCCAGCTCCACTTTCTCTGAAAACTTCCTTTATCCCAAAAGGCAAATGTGTGTTCACATGTGCACATAGACAAATACACATCCTACTTTAAAACACATTGCATAGCATGATACTTTGGGACTGTGTTAACATCATGTTTTCCTCCCAGTCATGCAACTTGAGAAGAATGGCTACAAGCTGTTTCTAATAAATTAGATTTTATTGAAAAAAATATGATTTGTACTCAGAAACTTCAGTTTACAACTCTCCCATACATATGTAAAACTGAGGTTCCATTTTGGCATGGGCATTTTTCTTTCACCCTGTATTTTAAAAAACTACTTATAAACATGCCCAATAAACAAAGTGAAATATTACATGTTCCCAAGGGGAAAAATGGTCTAAGCTCCTCTGGATCCTCAGAGATTGTAAGAAGAAAAAAAGCCTTCTGTTTCTGACTGTATTCTAACTCTAATTACTCCCACTTTAGGATTAGCAAAAATACTACTGAAAACAAAATACTTCATAGACAAAATTGATGATACATTTTTATGCCAAGATACTTACAGACTGAACAGCTGTAAAGGAAAAAGTGCAAAAGATTAATGAAGCAAAATACAAAAAGTAACTATATGAGGAACAACAAAGTTGGATTTTTTAAAATAATAGATTTTTTCTGTGCCAATAAATAATAAATCAACAATTTTTGACATTTTAATCAACATGATAATTACTAGTATGTACTTGGACTTTATGTGACCTTTCAGCTCATATATACTTCATGCAATGATCAAATCAGGGTACTCAGAATATCTATTACTGCAAACTTTTACACTTATTTTATTTAGAATATTCAAAATCCTCCTAGCTCTTTTGAAATATATGATATATGATGATTAACCATAGTCGCTCCACTCTGCAGGAAAATAATAAAATTTATTCCTCGTTTCTAATGTAACTTTGCACCCACTGATCCACCTCCTTCTAGTCTTCCTCTCCCACCCCTCTGTCATCACTGTTCTACTCTGTACCTCTGTGAGATCAATCATTTTAGATTCCAGAGTGAAAATCAATTAGTATGTGTTGTGTGAAATATGCCAGGCATGGAAAATAAAATAACAGCTTGTTTTTCTATGGTTCAAGAGCAGATAAGGCAACTATTTTCTCTTCATTTCTTTTCTTTTTTTCACTTATGTTACTGGGAATTGACACCAAGGCCTTCACTTTGAGTTGTATCTCCTGCCCATCCTCCCCTCTTCTTTTGAAACACATTTTCATTAAGCACGCAATTTCCCCAATTTGGGCTCAAACTTGAGATCCCTCTGCCTCAGCCTCCCAGAATGCTAGGGTAAGAGATGTGTGCTACCAGGCCCAGATTCTATTTTTTATGTGGTAGCTTTCCTGTTTTCCCTGCATTTTCAGTTCTGAAGTCTTTAGACACCTCCAATAGACACAATGTTATCCTGATTGTGGCCTTCATCTAACATGCAAAGTCCTCTCCAAATTATATTCTATAAAATCCTGCAGAGACCATTAAGATTCTGACTTTTACATTGAATAAAATCTTTTGTATGGCTGATTCTAAAGAGATTACATACCCATGTTTATTACATTGGGCTGCATATTGACATTGTAATACAAGATCCAAACAAGCAGAAACTTCATCTGCTTTGTTCAAACTTTCTTTTTACAAAGCACCATGTAAATATGTCTAAATCATTTACAGTAAAATTTAATAAAGGATAAGTTATGAAATGGGAAGAAATAGAGGGGAATACAATAAAGTTAAATTGAATGGTTTCAAAACAAAGCTATTAAATAATATGGAATGGAACATCAACCATTAAACAAAAGAAGATATAGAATAGCAGAAATTTAATGCTTTTATGATGGGATTGATAATTAAACTGGTATAATTTAGACAATAAAATGTTGCTTAAATTGACAAGTAGCAGATGACTAGTCAATATTGTTGAATGAATTAGGAATTATGCCTCAGTGCATACAGGCATTTAACATATGACAAGGTTGAATTTTATATACATGTATACATATATATTTTTTTAAATAGAATATAAAACAATAAAAATGATACAGAATTTCAAAACAAGATGACAGGAAATTAACAATAGTTGTTATATTGCATATTGTTATCTTCAAGATAGTTGTATTTTAATTTAGTTTGAAAGCTAGAATAGTTAAAGCTAGCATATATGGCTATGTATATAGAGGAAAATGGAGTTGGTCCTTTAACTCATAATATCTTACAAAATATTATAGAAATTAAAGACCTTAGTATAAAAGTAAACAACATGTTTCAGATGTTTCAGAAGAAAATTAGGAATATATCATAGAAAGTTCATATTTGGGCAAAATCATCTTAAATAAGCAGAGAAATGCAAATGTAAGAAGATGGACAGGTTTACTAAATGAAAATTAAAACATCATAGCCAAAATAACATGCCAATAAGTAATACAGGAAGAACAAATGAGAAATTTCCATTGAAATGCTGATAGCTCTAGAAAATGGGCATATGATATCACTGTAGCAATCGAAATATTTTTTATGTACCACCACAGGTAATGCACTATTTCTCTTCTTTACCTAATTACTTGAAAGTTCTTTGGACATATGTTTTACTTATGTTGAAATCACCTTATGCCTTTCAGTAACCTTCTAACTGAGCTTGCATTACCATTGCTTAACTGTCAAAAATGACCCTTGCACTGCTGAGCTTAACATCCCCTTCCTTCTTAGGATGGTGAATAAATATATCAATAATTTAATCAAAGAAGCAAAAAAAAAAACCAGAAATCTCTCAGCTCTATGCTAGCCTGGGTTGACTCTTAGCTTATTCTAGATACATGCACTTTGCTTTCATTATCTCTCTCTTCAGCACCTGCTGAACACTAAGAGTCACCTGGATGGATTTTCCAATTGGAAAGAACCACTGTGGAAGTCCAGATTCCTTCCTGAATGGTTAATGATGGAGACAATTAGAACTTTGTTGGCAGAAAGCAGAGCAGGAAATTATTTAAATATGAGTCACCAAACAAGATTCAGGACTCCAAACTAAACAACCATGTCCAGGGGCTGGGGATTTAGCTCAGCGGCAAAAGCGCCTGCCTGGCAAGCGCAAAGTCGCGAGTTCAGTTCCCGGTACCGGAGAAAAACCAAAAAACCAAATAAATAAATAAATAAATAAAAAATAAACAACCATGTCCCTTCCAGACCAAGGTTTCATTGTCTGAACAGTGGCAAGGAGATATTTACACCTTTGTCTATCTTCTCCCAGATCCATTTTCCTCTTGTTTTTCCAATGCTAAGTAAGCCTTCCCCCAGGGGATGTTGTTCTACACTGAAATTTTTTTCTTGCTGATTGTTCCCAAGATACCAGGATAACTGTCAGGTGAATAAGTCTTTATTATATTTCCCCCTGAGCTCTTCTGTCCTCCAGAGATCTAACTCCCTGACACCTAGTTCCATCCCAGAGCTAAAGTTTTCTTGAAGTTTGACATCAAGAAACCTGTCTTAACTAGGTCCTTTGGCTCTCCAAAGCCTAAAGTTGTGTTAAGGACACAATTCCCCAGACACTATTTCCAGAAAATTGACTATTCTTCTCCTCAACAAGGGCATGAATTAGAATGCCTTAATATAAAACCATGAGTAGTCCTTGGTTTCATGATGCTTTTGAGAAAATAATTTAAAACATTATCTGTAAACCAAGATTAAAGAGCTGTCATTTAGTCTTATTCTTATAAATCTTTTATAATTCAAAAACATGATTGTATATTTTTATAAATATATCCCCCAAATTGGCAATTTACAGGAATGATTTTCCATTTTTTTGTAAATTTCCATTCTTTGTGGTCTATACAGTTATGAATGTCTGTCTACATTTGTGGAACAGAGCTTAGAATGGTTGTGATCTGCACAATTGGGACCACTGAGGGTTAGAATCTCTACATGTAAACTTTATAGGGAAAACATTCATTCCATAACTGAATGGAAATCCAGGAGGACACAGAGTCTGTGCCTGGAACTTAGCAGGTCTTATACATTTTTGATGAATGAATATATAGCTATATGATTTTGATAGGACAAGTGGCGTGAGATATCTGTGGGAAATGGTGTCAAATATCTCAGGCTGGTGGAGAGTGAGAATATGCAGTGACAGGGAAGAGAA